AATTCATTTCCTCATTTCTATTCTTCAAAGACATATATCAATCAAAGCAACTTTGAGGCTTCTGAAGATTCCGGTTAGCATGAGGTAATTAATTGATGCTAACACACTAGGTTGCTCAGATTCAGCCAAAAGCAAAGAAACGTGATAAATTAGTCCACACATTTAAATTCGTGGAGATAAATGCACAGTTTTCATTAGACTCAGGAAATACTAAACTATAGCTCATACATCCCCATAGCTGCTTGGAATTCCCTGAATGTCTCAAAACCCCTTCTGGACTTAGGAGGCTGACCATGAGAGAAAGAGCTCTTCCTACTTAGGGAGCACTGACTCAGTCTCCACAGCAGTGCCTGCACTGTCCAGAGGGCAGAAGGATACCTCCCTGTCCTTTCTTCAAGGGTCCCAGGTCGGGGGAGGGAGGACGGGTGAGCAGTGGCATTGTGGGAATCTGGCAGCTGGCATAGCCGAGCTTCCCGGGTTAGCCTTCGAGTTTCTGCCCTTTGAAGTGTGCTTGGGCTCAGATTACAACGGGTTTTTCTCAGTTCTTCCTTTGTAGTGTTGCTAGTCCAATGTGACCATAGAGGATAAGCTCTGAGCGCTAACTGGCTGATGAAGAACAAAACTGGGGTTCCAGATTCATGTCATTTCAGCTGGTTTCCCACAGGAACATTCTGGAATTTAAAGAAGCACTTTCCCCACCTAAGTAACAGAATTTAATTTATACAGCAATTTTTACCTGAAGCTTGAATTTGCAACAGGAGGAATTTGAGTCAGCCCACATCTTCTCTTGCTGCCTTGGGGAAAGGCAGCGGTTGCTTATATAAGTCCCCTTCCTTGCAGCCGTAAGCCAACATTCAGTCATCTGGCACCCAGGTCAAGTCATTCCACATTCTTATTTAGAGGCTTCTTTCAGCTGTTAGTGCCCTCCGCTGGACTTCCTCCGAGTTCTTCTCAACTTCCATCAGCTGTAGAGCCCAGACTGGCCCTGTCTTACCAAGGCCTTGGCTGGCATGGAGGGGTTGGGAAGGTGGCCTTGACCCCTGCAATCGCCCTAGTATGGTTGTTGCTTTTTTCATGAGCTCAGGAGACTTATTGATTCATTTAGGGAGCATGGTGAGCTGCCTGGTATCCAGGTGGTCTGTGTCATCTGAAAAGGCTCATATAAGAGTTTATGGGAGTCCTGGCAGCTGTGGCTCAGTAAGCTGGGCGTCGTCCTGCAAAGCCAAAGGTCTCCTGTTTGATTCCTAGTCAGAGCACATGCCTGGGTTGCAGTTTCGGCCCCTGGTTGGGGTCCATGCAAGAGGCAACTGACCGGTGTTTCTCGCTCACACTGATGTTTCTCCCCTTCTCTTTTTCCCTCCTTTCCCCTTTCTCTAAAAATAAATTTTAAAATATTTTTTAAAAAGTGTTTATGTGAGAGGATGAGGCAATATCTGAATCTCTGGACACTCTGCTGATCAATATTATTTCATAGGGTTAAGTGGAGGAATAGTTGGCACACACCTCACTGATTTCAGATTGTTGAAAAGACAAGGACCAGGCCCCTCCTGTGGGCTTTCAGGGAGGGAGGACCCTGTGCACTGACAGCTGTTGCCTTCAGGGATTACCTGCAGTTCCTACTGCTCAGTGCTCACCTCTCTTGACATCCCCCCAGCAGCAATTCCTGCCATCAGCACCGCACCGAGTAGGGCACAGTGACTGCTGTGCCTCCGAGACGACGGGCTCTTCTGGTCCCCATCTCTGAGCACAGGGCCTGGCATGCGCTGGCTGGGTGGCAGTGGAGCTGAGCGGGAACGCCTTTTCTGCTCAGGCTGCTTGTCCGGAACCTCTCCAAGTTTCGAGTGTTGGCACACAACTCCTTGTTGTGGAGAAGCTCTTCTCTTGCCTACCCTGCAGGGAAGTGCTCTCTCTCTCTGCTCTCTGTTTTGGTAGCATTTCATATCTCCTGCCAAGAGTTATCCTTTTCTACTCTTACACGTAGTTATGTATGTTGATGCTTACTTTCCAGAGTGTAAACACCTTGAGAGAAGGATCCTTGTCTGACTCGCATTTTTATTTTCTGTGACCCACCAAGCAATGCCTGCATGTGGCAGTACCAGCACTTACACAGCAGTTAACACGTGCGAGGCACTGTCCTCCCTGCTTCACACGTGTCCATTCTTTAACCCTCACAGTAGCTGCACAAAGTACAGACTGCCGTGAACATCTGTCCCATTTTGCAGCTGAGGAGAACTACACGGAATGATTTGCTTAGGGCCCTGTAACAGGAAGTGTGGGAGCACATGCCAGAGTCCAGACATCCCCACCCTTTCCACACTCCTCCTGCTGGCCCTTGCGCTGGCCAGTGCGCATAGAGGGCATTGTAGAAATACTTGTGGAATGCACATGAGCTGACATTGCTTAGTTATTTGGAAGCATAAGCAGTTGAAGGTGATCCATTGTTGCTTCCACTCTACCATCTGAACTGTTTTCTAAGCAACGGCAAGGCCAGAACCGGTTGCCAGAGGTTGGTTGGTCCCGTTTTCCTTCTGGAAGTGCAGGATGGGTTGGCCTCCTGGGGTTCTGATTTGGAAGTCAGCAGTGCCATCTAGTGGGATAATTTGCTAATATCAGTCCAGAATTATTTTTCTGAAACTGGTAAATCGTTATTTAGTTCTGGGATCCTCTTTATTAGCTTCACTTTCAGTTTTGATTGCCAGAGGGAGGGTAGGGTGAGAAGGAAGAAGCAGCTCATGTCAGGAGTGTCCAACCCCTGGGCCGAAGACTGGATGTGGCCCAGGATGGCTGTGAATGTGGCCCAACACAAAATCGTAAATTAACTTAAAACATGATGAGATTTTTGTGTGATTCCGTGTCACAATGTATTTAATGTGTGGCCCAAAACATCTCATCTTCTCCCAGGTTGGCCCAGAGACACCAGAAGGTGGGACAGCCCTGGGAGGCCAGGTCTGATCTCTCCCTTGGTGAGGCATCTCGCTGATCCTGTGGTTCAGGGCAGGGTGAGCCCTGTTGGCAGGCTCCAGACTCCCCACCCTGCACCCCCGCTACTGCTCACAGGCGCTCCCCACAGCCTAGACTGTTCCTCCTCTCTGGATGCTTGCCTCTGGAGCTGCGTCTGTTTTGAAATTTGAGCTCCATTTTCTGTGGGTTACCTGCTGTAGTATAATCCCACGTTGCAGAGAAGAGGGTGCTGGATGCACAGAACCGGTCAGTCGCACTGTAAGAAATCCCACGGGTGGACAACATGGAAGTATAGTTTTGTCATCAGAAATTTTTAATGTGCAAGTGTGGGAGACCTGGCAAAGGGGAGAGGACGAGTGGTCACTCCAAAGCGAACAAGCGGCACAAGGCACTCTGTGTCAGCCTTGTCACAGGGCCATCCAGCCTTCTGGTGTCTCTGGGCCACCCTGGAAGAAGAAGAGTTGTCTTGGGCCACACGTTAAACACATTGTGTCATGTAATCACACAAAAAAATCTCATAATGATTTAAATAAATTTACGATTTTGTGTTGGGCCGCATTCACAGGCCTGTGGGCCACATGCGGCCCGTGGGCCACGGGTTGGACACCCTGGAGAGTGAATGTGGAGAAAGGGATTGTGTCCCTTCTTAGTTCTTGCCACACAACTGAGGGCTTTGTGTGTGGTGCTCTTCTGGTACCTTGTTTGAAATTTTGAAATAAATTGCTTCTCAGTTCATTTAGTTCTTGTTAAAGGAACAGACATCTGTGCATGCTTACAAGTGTAACCACAAAAACCCTGTGCTCCTCTGACTCCAAGTGTGCAGCCCTGGAGCCGCGTAACCCACCCCAGGCTCAGGTTGTGCCCCGGCCCGCCCTCCCCGGGGCTCCAACCCCAGGGACTGGCTCTAGTGTGTTTCTCTACGGTGGACAATTCCGTCAGAACAAGGACACAGTTTTGGTTCTACTGGAGCCTGGGTTATAATGATATGTAAGGTGATGGGAATTGATTATTAAAATCTGTGCAAAGCAGGGGTTTGCTACCTTTTTCTTTAAGAAGACGGGGGTGAGTATTTTAGGCTTCGTGGGTGTAATGGTTTCACGAATTCAGCTCAGCCTTCCTCTGCCATTAGAGCAAAACAGCAGCCATAAATAGTGTGTGGTGAATGGTTTTATAACTCTGCAGTTTGAATTTCATGTAATTTTCACATGTCATGAAATGGGTTTTTTTCCTTGTTTTTTTCCCCAACCATTTAGAAAGGCAAATACCAAAAAGAAAAAAGAAAAAACCAAAAGGCAGATACCACTTCTCAGTCGGCAGCACCAAACACACTGCTGCAGGTCTGGCCCCGGGGGCTGTAGTCGGGGACTCCTGATTAGAGGCCTAGAGTAGTTAATAATTAGCAGATAATAAAAACATGTGCTCATAAGCTCTGTGTTTCGTGTCGTGAGGCGTGTGGGCAGCTTTTCTCTGTCCGGAGTCCGTGGAGGGCTGCTGCCCGCGGGGCTGTAGGGAGCTCGAGGCTCCGCCCTCCAACCCTGCGTGCCCTCCTCAGCCCTCCCTGGAGTCACAGACGCAGGTCAGCTACCCCCATCCCGTCCAATCTCTAGTCCTCCTGGAATATCCCTTCCTTCCAGACCTCTTCTTCCCGTCTCCGCCCTGCCCTCCCGCAGTCTACAGAGCCCTGAGAGTCTGGTGAGGGTGAAGGATGGGATGGCCGTCCCGGGTCCTACCGGCAAGAGGCCCAGGCCCGGAGGGCGCTGGAGGCACATGTTCGCCCAGCTCCTGCAGCCAGGGAAGAACCAGGACAGACACTTCCTCTTCAGCTTTAGGTGTGTTGGGTTGGGTATTCACCAAATTTGTGTCATTTCTCAGATCCACTGAGGTCAGTACACTCTCTGTACAAATTGACTTGACACGGGAACTTGCATTTTGAAAGTTTTGTAAGCCCGTTTCTTTGTCAAGTGGAGTCTCTGTGACCTCCCCTGGGGTTGGGAAAGAAGCTGGGTGCTAACGGCCGGCCGTGTCCTGTGTCTCCGCAGCAGCCAGCAGAGCAGCCAGCAGAGCAGCCACGACGATGACTCCAGCAGGTTCCTGAGTCCTCGGGTGCAGGAAGAAAGGTGAGGGCGGATGATGGGGTGGGTGACGTGGCGGAGGCAGGTAGTGCATCCCCAGTGAGTGAGCCAGAGCTGGAAGACTGCAGAGAGGTGGGAGACTGCTCACAGACCGCTTCCAAGGGAGGGACTGACATGAAGGGACAGAGCCTACAGGCTCTGGTGTGCGGTAGGGGAGCCAGCACGATGGGCAAGCCAGATGGGTGGGCAGGACTTCAGAGTGGCCTGGGAACTTGAGACCCCCTCTGAAGGCTCCTGCAGTGTAGACTGGGGTGGAAGGGGTGTCTCATGCCTGAGGAAAGCTGCATGTGTGGCTCCCAGGGCAGCAGAACGCCAGGACCAGAGTGGCTGCAGGTGTCAGGGGTGAATGGGGAATGAGGCAGGAAGCGCAGGGCGCAGTGTGCAGTGAGAATAAAGAAGCTCCCAAACTCTCCTCTGCAGATTTGAGGAGTGATTGTTCAGCCCTCGGGCTGTGAGTGTTGCAGGAAAGGAGGCCTGGCCCAGAGCTGCTTTGGCTCACTGGGAAGTCAGAGAAGAGGGGCCTCAGAAACCCAGTCAGAGGGTGATCTGAGGACCAGCTGCTGCTGCCCACTGCTCCCTTGGCTGCAAGTCTTGTGAGGATCCCTAGAGTTTAGGAGACACGTGCCTGTGGGGGAAGGGGAGGGGGGAAGGGAAAGCATGGACATGCTCCCCAGAGGGAGAGTGTGTGCTGGGACCTTTGTTTTCAGGGTTTTAAAGGCTGAGAGTTATTCCCTTAACTTCAGATAAATGAGATTTATTCCCTTAACTTCATCTCTTTTTGGGTGTGGCTGGCAAATGGCATTAATTGGACTTCTGTGATCCGTCTCCCTGAGGGGGGTGAGTTAAGCTATTTGCCCTCTGGTTAGGGAGGAGAAGTGCAAAGCACTTACTCTCAAGTGCCCCTCGTTAGGGGAGATAGGACTTCCTGGATGGCTGTAAACCACTTCTCTGTCTCTGTCTGCCCGTTCCACTGTCTGCTGCTTGGCCTGGCTCGTGGGGGACAGCCAGCCCCTGTTACATGGTGCCAATGGACCCCAGACAGAGCTCTGTGGTCACAGGTCGCCCAGTGTGCAGGGAAAGTTGGCTGCATTGATGTTAGAGAAAAGGAGGTCTCACCTGGTGTCCCACAAGGCTCTGCTCTTGGTCTAGCTTTGACTACCATTTCTATCAGCCAACTGGATGAAAACCAGAAGGTGCTTTTACTTCATTATCAAACTCATGGCAGACACACAGTTGAGGGAATAGAAAACACCAGGATGACAGAACTGGATTTATTATTTCAAATAGAACTATGGGTAGAAACAAGGAGACTTTCATGTTTAAAATCAATGTGCGATTGCATGTTTATATTACACTTAAGTTGCACATTTATAAATTCATATGAGAATATTTCCCAAGTGTTGGGTCGTCACTGGGGGCCAGCAGTCCCCAGCAGTGACAGCATGACAGGATTTCACATGAAAAGGGGTTGAGGGTTTTATTTACTCATCAAATATGAGCCAGTAATAGGACACAAGTATCAAGTGACCTTTGAAAGTCCGAATTCATTAACAGAAGTGTGATGGAAGAGATTAAAAAGAAAAAAAAGTTTCACTGTGGTCTGTTCTACTTTGGCCATATCTATGTATTCTGTCCAGTTCTTTGGCAATGGGTACTGATAAATTAGAGCCCAGAAAAAAGCAATGAGGGGGATACAATATCATTATAAGGATTGGTTGAAGGAATGGGGCTTAGCCTGGAAAGGAGAAGGGCCAGGGTGACTAGTAACAGCATTTGTCAAGTATCTGAAAGCCTAAGAACTAGAACCAGAGGGCCAGAAGTTACAGGGAGAAGAGTTTCAGCCCGGAGTAAGGAAGAGCTTTTCCATGATGAGATCAGATCTTCACTACAGTGGAACAGGCCTTGTGAAGCTGTGACCTGTCCCCTCCACACATGGGTTGAAGCCATAGCTAGCTGGGGTATCTAAAAGCATCTGCCCTGGGCCAGAGGCTGGGACCTCTGGAACCCTGCTCCCTTTGTTTAGTTTATGAAGTTTTGTGAGTTCTGCCCTCAGTCTCAGTTGTTTTTTGTTCATAGTAACCAGAAGGAACAGTTCAGATCATCAGTTTAGAGGGGAGAGGCGTGGGGCCCCCAGGGAGTGAGACACTTGTTCAGATACTTAATCAGGGTCCTGTGGCAGGTCCCTCAGTCTCCAGAGTGGCCTGCATTCTCTTTTCAAAGCCTTCTGGGTTTCAACAGCCACACTCTCAAGATTAGAAGGGGACTCAGAGCGCCCCTCGCATGACTCCCTTCCCTGTGTGTGTGTGCCAGGCAGACCCCCTACTGCAGTCCTGAAAAAGGTCCACATGACAGCAAACGGGGAAATGTCTCCATGTGGCGTCCAAACCTAAGGGCTGCTGAGAACTTTTCCCTCATCCAGGCCATTTTCTGTCCTGAAGGAAAAGACCCCTAGGAACCACGACGGGGGCACTTCCTGAGCAGCTGTGCATCGGGGAGAAGGGCTGATTTTAGGACAGTAACACTTTTTGGGACACGGGGCTTATCTCAGAAAGAGGAATAATCCCCCCAGTTTTCTAGTAGAAAGCAAAATAGATCTAACTTCCCGAGGTATGTATATGCATGTGTGATCCATTTTTATCCTTCTAGGTAAAGTCAAGGATTCACATAAATAACACTAGTTCCTAGATTCAGCCCAAACTGGAGCAATTGTTAGGGTTTCGCAATAGCAGGAACTTTCAAACAAAGCCAGAACTGCAGAAAAAGGAGCTGTTTTACTAAGGGCCATTTATGTAACAATAACTGGTTTCAACAGAACATTACCAGTTAATGTAACAATATGAGTTTCAATAGGACAGGGTCTCAGTTAACCAGGAAGCCAGGAAACCTGTTAGTGTAGGAAAATTGAGACCTGGGCAGGTCTGGGGTGTAACCGAGCACCCAGGCAGGGCCACCTGCGTCACATATTCACTTCCGCCCGCAGGCACGGGGCACACACCTTGGTGAAGGAATGTCTGCTACTTACCGGAAGCCTCCTGGAGTCTGGGCTGCAAGATGGGCAGGAGCTCACTGTCCACTGGTGGGCACTGTGGTGGATTGGAAAGAGTGAAAGAAAGCCCTTAAGACAGAACAACTTAGCTTCAACTTTTACTGTGCCTTTTAAAAGCAATGTCCTTAGTTTTCCTCAACCATGGGTTCCTCATTTGTGGAAGTCTTTTCTTGTAAAAAGTAAATGAGACAACATGTGTGAGGTTCCTGGAACCTAGTGAGTGGTAGCTGATTATGGCTGTCATGAGACTTGCTCTCAGTCTCTAGCAGTTCTGTACTACTCTCTGCAAAACATCATTTCAGATACTGAGGATACCTGGGTTAGGCACGGTGTTTCTCCTCGAGAACCTTACTGCCTCATGGTAAGACATACCTACAAGTACGCAAGTAAAATATATTATAATGACATGCAATTATAAAACAAATTATACATTTGTTTACTAGAGTGCCTCAGCCTGTGCAACGAGTCTTGTATACACTTTTAAATAAAATCCTCTCAACAGCCCTGTCAAATAGATGCTATTATTATCTTCATGTTAGAGTTTAGGAAACAGAGACTCACTGGAGGTATGAAATTTGCCATTTGTGTGTGTGTGCATACTATGGGGAACTCCCTGGTTCTTGAGTATTTAGCAGTTTTTTAGTAAGTCTTTGGGATAGGAAGTATCTCTCTAGACACCACGCAGAGAGCGGAAAAATAAAGTGATTGATATACTTAGGTATATCAGAAGAAAACTATAGTTTTATTGGTTTTTACATACCTTTGCCTGTTTGTTAGAATGGTGTACATTATGTTATTAATGAAAAATTTGATAAACAATTTAAGTACAGTTAAAAATATTTGCCCTAGAGAAACACAGGTACTCTCACAGGTACTCTTCAGGAGACAAAGGTGGGGGAGGCCTGGGGTGAGGCCTGGGGAGAGGTGGTTTCCAGAAAGACCCCGTGCTGGCAGGGTGGGGCTTCTGCTGAGAGTTGCAGGATGAACGGCAGTTTGTCTAGGCACCGCCGCCCTGCGCAGGAGCAGTGATGTGAGATGAGAGCGGGGAGGTGTGAGACAACAGTGTGTGTTCAGGAACTGCAGATACTTCAGTGTCACTGAGGGTTCTGAGGGAGGAGGTGCCTGGGTCACTCCCAGTTAGTGTGGGAGAAAAATCACTTTGGTCCTGGTGTGGAAGATGCATTTCAGGGGCAAATGCCAGCCACAGATAGGGAAGGAGTGAGCCTGGGGCACTTGTCGGCACTCTTCATTCCACATTGAACAAGTATTTATTGAGCACTCTTGCAGGCATTGAGGTTACAGCTGTGAACAATGTAACTATTGTCCCTCCTTTCATGGTGCTTACTCTTTAGTAAGGGGAGATAGATAATAAACAAGAAAACATCAAGTAATAATTGTGCTATAAAGAAAATGAGCTCTGGCTGGTGTGGCTCAATGGACTGAGTGCGGGCTTGTGAACCAAAGGGTCACCAGTATGATTCCTGGTCAGAGCACATGCCCGGGTTGTGGGCCAGGTCCCTGGTTGGGGGCCTGAAAGAGGCAATCCATCGATGTCTCTCTCACACATCGATGTTTCTCTACCTTTCTTTCTCCCTTCCACTGTCTCTAAAAATAAATAAATAAAATCTTTTAAAAAATGAATGAGGATGACACCTTGGACCCAAGCATTTTGAAATTACATTGGGTGAGAAGGGATGATTAGATGTAGTGACATTTAAGCTGAGGCCACATGGGCACATTTCTGAATTGTGGTATAATAGTAAGGATAAAAAAAGATGGATGCCCCAGCTGGTGTGGCTCTGGATTGACCGTGAGCTGTGAACCAAAGGGTCGTGGTTTGATTCCCAGTCAGGGCACAAGTCTGGGTTGTGGTCGAGGTCCCCAGCAGGGGGTGTGTGAGAGACAACCACACATTGATGTTTCTTCTCTCCCTATCTTT